GGGCCAGGCCCGCCGCCGCCTCGAGCCCGGACCTGCCCGCCCGACCTGGCGGCGGAGTCTCGCGGGATCGCTCAGCTCTCGCTCCCCGTGCGGCTCCCGAGGCGGCCGGAGTCCCGGACACTCCCCGGAGCCGTCTCAGGTCGCTGGGGGCCGGTGGGCTGCACGGGGACGGGAGGGAGAGCTGCCTGTGACCACCGCCCGAGGTGAGGCTCTTCGGCCACGACTGGGCGGCCGGCGGGTCCCGGGGCGAGCGGGGGCCTCGAGGGGTGCGGGGCGGGCTGCGGGCGCGCGCTCGGGGCCGCAGGTGCGGGGATGGCGGCGGCGGGACAGTCCGCAGCGCCCAAAGTTTACGGAAGTTGGGGCCAGCTCCTGCAAGGCGAGGCGGGTCCCCGCGGCGCCGAGCGGGCAGGGGCGCTGCTGCCGGGCTCTAGGCCTGGGGCAGGTGCCCGGCGCTGGAAACCTGGGCACCGGTGTGTGGAGGGGCGGGGGTGCGCTTATTCGTGACTCAGGGCCCACAGCCTCCCTCCCACAGGCACTCCGTCGTCCTCCCGGGACAGACGTGCTCGTTGTCCCTTTCAGAGAGATCACTGCTCCCCCCAGCCCATGAAAACTAGTTTCGCTCCTCCGCAGGAAGAATCCTAGAAGCTTCCCCCTAGTTGGCCTTTTGAAAAACAGAAAAGTATATCCCCAGTAGACCGCCACAAAAACGGGCTCTTTAGAGTCTTTAAAGAATGTAAGAACTCCTTAGGTCTTAAGGAATTTCCCTGGGACGCAGTTTTCCTGTGCGTAATAAGATATCCAACAGGGGCCCTTAGAGTTTATGATTCTATTCATCCTTTTTAACTTATTCTCGATCCCCAGCATTACTTTTTTCTCCATCTCACTCAATCCAATGCCCTCTTTTTACCGTGTTGCATAGAGCACAGAGCTTCGATCATCGGTTCCCTAGAGATGAGACTTCCTCAGCAAATGATATATTCTGTGCCAAGGCAGGTGGAAAAGTATCTCGACAGGACGGAATTTTCCGTCGTTTTTCCAGCGTTAGTTACCTAGGGTGAAAATCGTAACTCCACTTGGATGTCCGCATTTGAGTTTATGACAGGTGTTACTGATACACCCTCTTGGTTGTTTTTACAGTAATTGACCCAGAACTCATATTCAGGAAGAGAACTTCCTTCAAAATTGTAAAATGATGAAATGAGGAATTTGAACATTTTGTCATTGGGTGGAAGTCTGAGAAAGAAAAATGCGATTAATCCAAGCCATGTGGTAAAATCAGGAATTTGAAGAAAATGGAAATGTTTCCATTCTTGTGGACATGTATTTTTCTGCCCCTCATAAGAGGGCACAGTCTTTTCACCTGTGAACCCATTACTGTTCCCAGATGTGTGAAAATGGCCTACAACATGACATTTTTCCCGAATCTGATGGGTCACTATGACCAGAGTACTGCTGCTGTGGAAATGGAGGTGAGTAGTTCTTCATACCTTTACAGAAAAATAGTTGATGTTCTGTTCTGGAATAAAGTATAAATGTGACTTTTTAATAAAAAACACATAAGGGATTGTTTGAGTTGTGTACAAGCCGTATTTTGGATAAATCCTTTTGAAAATTAAATCCCCCTACGAAGTTTTGTTTTGTGTACGTTTCTGGCCCTGTTTAATGGGTTTGCTTAAAATAGGGTTTGTTTTATATGAAATATAGTTATGAATGATTTCGAATATCTTGCACCTGGCAAATATTTTGCCTTCCTGAATCAATTATGGTAGTTCCTCTAATAATGTGAATTCTGAATTTTTCCTAATTAACTGAACATATAATCTATATTGCCTTGACTAAAAGTGTCTGGACTACATATATTTTCATAAGTAATTGTAATGTTCACTTGGCACAGTTTTCTGAAGCAAATCAATTATTGGAAGATTTGGGGGCTGTAGATAGTGTTTTGCTACAAAGTGACTCTTTTAAAAGCATAACATTTAAGTATTGTTTGTAAGATACTTGTTAAAAGAAACCACATGTCAGAGGAGAAGCAGAGTGATGCTAAAGATTGCCTTAGGTGCCTCAGTGACTTGCCTCTGGTTTAGAGATATGCAGATTGCTGGGGAGGTGTGAGAAGAAAGTTACCTGTAGAGACAGGAACCTGCCCTCCTGTGCAGATCTCTTAGGTTGATAAGCCTCATGAAGGAAAGAAGACAAATGTTTTTGTGGTTTTTCTCTAGAAAAGCTGTCCCAGGATGGTAAAGGCTTTTTTCTCTCAGATTGTTCCTAAGAGATGAAACCCTATAATTTTAATATAGACACTACTTTAAAAACTGACTCAATTTGATTTTGCAGCTTCAAAAGTCTTCCACTGTTGTTTAGTTGAATAGTTGTCCAACTACCTTATTGTAGACTCATGTCTAAAATAGGAGGGTTTTTAAATACTAAGTAGATGTAGTTTAAAAGGATATTACAAATTATATTATTGTAATCTTGCAGTGGATTTTTTAAACCAGTGCAAGATGTTATTTTGAACACTGAGCAGATGATGCAGTGAGGATTTCATTGATTAATCAGAACCATTTTGATGGTTTAATCTGATTAAAATAAAGTATGTCCTGAGAATGCCTTCAAGGAATAATTATATCATTCATTCACGTTTTCTCTGATATATGTTTCTCTAATATATGTTTTATAACTCATATCTTACAGAGTTCTTAAAAATGTTTTTTTTTTTAATCTGGTTTCCTTTCTGTATAGTAGGTACATACATTTTAAGTTTGAATGCTAACATGACCTTATAAATTCAGATCATTTAGAGTTCATTATCATAGAGTTCCATTATAAAGACAGGGGAGGGATGCATCCCTGCTATTCAATCCTATAATTGTAAGATGATGAGAACCAGTTTTTGTTCCACACGTCTTTTTAAAACCAATTGTTTCTGACAAAAAAAAAAAGTTATTTTTTAATTACCTAGCTTTTTTTCCCAGGTAATTTTGTGTCGACATTATCAAGAAGGCCTTTTTGTTCTTACCTCCTTTATTTGATTGCTAACATTACCAATCTTTTCATTATATAATCTTCCTTATACACTGAACTTTCTCATAGCCTTTACTGTTAAGTTTTCTTCTATAAATCATACTTCAGTAGGTTTAAGGATATAAAAGAAGAGAGCCATCAAATAGTCATTTAATACCAGCATTAACCTAAGTCTACAAAAGAAGAAAGGGAAATGGAGAGGCGAAATAATACCAACATGAGTCAGACTTTAAATCCCTATATATGATCTTTTGGTCTATGGTATTGTGCTTTTCCTATTGCCCCATCTTTATTTGTCCTTAGCCAGTGACGTGTCCAAAATCCTGTAATTTGAGAGTTGTAAGTGACCCTAAATATCATGCAGAACTTCTTAACCTCTTTTATGCCATTGACCCCTTCTCAGAATAAGAGAATGTTTTAAAGTTTAAATAAATAAAATGATTAGGATTACAAAGGAAACCAGTTATATAGAAATAAACTTCTATTTATAGCCTAGCTTAAGAACCCTGAACCCTTCATTTTACAGGTGAAGAAACTAAAGCCCAGAGAAGTTATGATTTATCCAGGGCCTGAGCACTGTAATCTGATACAGTCTTCTCTGTCAACATGGACCATAATGTCATCTTTAACTGTTTTTTTGTTGTTGTTTTTACCCTTGACCTTAATGGATAAAAAAGAAAATATATTCTAAGATTCAGAATGTGGTGTGTTGATTTAAGTCCTTGCTGCTGCTTTGCAAACTTCATTTCGATAAAAATTAAACTGGGAGATTATTTTTTGACCTCCATTCAGCTGTATAGGTATATAATATATAATATCCCTCTGTTCTCTTTCTCCCTCTCATCTGTGCCTTGAATACAAATTCACATCAGAATTTTTAGATCAACAATAAAATCTTTAGCCTTCAGTCTCTCCCCTCTGGTGATTTTATTAAAATGCAAATCCACTCAGTCCACTTTGGGGTTAAAATTCTTCACCATTTCCCTAAAGCTGGAAGAATAAAGTGTGGCACCCAGGATTCTTCATGTGGGACCCTGCCTTCCTGTCCAGCTTCCCATTTCATCCCTTCCCACGTTACACACTCTGCTTCAGCCAAACCGACCTGTTTGTAGAACACAAACCCATATTACTCTCTCCCCTCTGTACCTGTGCACATGGTTGTATCCACTGCCTCCTGAACTCTCCACCTACCTTTCTTCATCTGCTCAGTTTCTTCAGGTCTCAATTAAAACAGTAACTCGGTGCTTAGTGAAGACTTCTTTCAGCTTTCTCCTAAGCATGTTTAATCAGCTCACTCTCTCCACTCTGATAGTACTTAATATATACGACTGTTCTTATACTGATCATGCTGTATTGCAGTTATTTACATGGCTGTCTCACCAGATTGCAACTTGTTGAGTAGAGATGGTGTTTATTCGTTTCTATCCCTAATGCCTGGTATAGTGCCTCTGAGCATGGTAGATGCTCACTGGAGGCTAAATGAAGAAAACATTTCCTGTCCTAATAAATCAGCAAATAGAATTTTCCCTCCAAATCTTTACCTTCCACCTCTATCTTCTTTGGTATTTAAGTGCAGGACAGTATAATATTTTTAAGTGGTTTACATATCATCCACTTTTGTTCTGCCTGAGCCTAGTTCTAATAAAATATATCAGTTGATATCCTCTATATTCTTTCCCATATTAGCTTGACACGTTTGTTAGAATTTATTTAAAGAATTTGATTTTTAACCATTGATATTTATTTATATGGAGTGAAGGAATTCATCTTCCGTTTGGACCATTTTATTATAAACTATATGTGTCAGATTTTTTTCCAACCATTGTACTTTAGTCCTTGAGTTTATAGTCCAGTCAAGTACTAACTTATAACAGCATATAGCTTGGCTTTTACTATAAAAAAGTGTTTTATCGCTTTTCTAGGTTGGGTTTTATACCTCCAATCCAACCTCCTTTGTTTCCTGCTGGTCCCTATTGAATCTCCAGTGTTCACTATGAATCAATGTTAGGATAAGGAGCTGAAGAATTATCTGATGATTGTAGCGACCAATTGTGCTTTCTTAGCTACCACTAATTCCATATAAGTCAAGAGCTCTCAGTCCTCTTTTATGCCTTAGTTTTCATTTTGTGTGATGGCTATCCTGTCTTATAGAATTTATAGCATTTGTGGTTATTGCTGATCTGTGATTATATGAGATGGTTTATAGCAGTGGTTCTCAAAGTTTAGTTCGTAGACCAGCAATTTGTGAGCTTGTTAGAAATGCACGTTCGTGGACCCCATCCCAACCTACTGAATCATGATCTGTGAAGATAGAGCCCAGGAAATTGTGTTTTAACAAACTGTCCAGGTTTTTCTTGTGAATGTTAAAGTTTGAGACCTACTGGTTTAGAGCAGGGAATGCAAAACTTTTTCTGTAAAGGGCCAAATAAATATTTTTGGTTTTGCAAACCATACAGTCTCTGTCACAGCTATTCAACTCTGCTATTGTAGCAAAAAAAGCAGCCATAGACGATACGTAAACAAGTGAATGTGGATGTGTTTCGATAAAAATTTATTTACAAAAACTGGCCCACAGGCTGTAGTTTGCTGAACCCTGGTTTACAGTACTTGAAAGTATTCTTAAGGATTACACATGTATAGCATGTAACAAATAAACATTGTGCATTCTATTTTTATTTTTTAATTGAAGTATAGTTGACATACAATATTGTATTAGTTCATTCTTTTTAATAGGTTACCTGAGTTATATGTTATTTATATTTTATGATTTATATGAATTGTATTTATTTTCCACATAAATTTTTTAAGTCACATTTATCACAAACAAAAAGGATTCGACTGGGATATCCTGGTTCTTTCGTTTTGTTTCAGAGAGTGCTTGAAACAAGGGATTCAGTTTTTTTCTTATTTTATTATCTGAAGCTGAAGTCATTTGTGTTACTAAGAGTTAATTTACAATTCTGAGTAGCAACTTGGCTTTGTAATGAAAAGGATGTTGTACAGTCTAACTCTCCCAAGTGGAAAACAAATGGCTGCTGGTTTTCCATTGTGTTCCTTTTTGTTTCATATCTAGAGCATTGTTTCTCAAATTGTGAGATTGATGTCCCTTGAGAGACTGATTTCATCCAGAAAGAGCTGAGACTGATCTAGGGAAAATGGAAACAGGAATATTGTATTTTTCTTTTTGAATTGCCTTCACTGAGGTCTAGACAAAAGCAAAGTCATGTATTGTGTTTGGAATAGCATGTGGTCGTTCCACTTGTGAACAGTCTAAAAGGAAGTGAGCCAAAAAAAATCATTTCCTTTTCACCTGTTAATATGCACTACTAAAATGTCTATTCAATTGAAAATCTAAAGGGATGGAGAAAAACTGTATAAACAAACTTTTAAGAAAGGATGTATTTCTATTGGGCAGTGATTTAAACATTTTCATTTTTCTACTTTT